CTTGGCAGGCATTCCTCATTGGTTGTGACCCTCTGTCCTCTGCACCCCCATCCTTGGCAGGCATTCCTCATTGGTTGTGACCCTCTGTCCTCTGCCCCACTGGATCTGTTGCAGTGAGTGGCAGAGCCAGGCTAGAACCAGACCTCTTCCCTGCCCATCTGGATCTCTGCCTGCTGTCTCTCCCTCTCCCAGCAGGCTTTCTGCACTGGCATCTGAGCATGTATCAGATGCTCACTTGCTGCCGTGTGCAGGCTCTGCCCTTGACCACAGTGTAATTTCCCCTGGTTTACAGATCACATGGGAGCTTGCAGAGTGGGTGCCCGTAGGGTGGGGGCTGGGGTGTCTATTCCTCCCTCATTATTCAGCAGGTCATTAGTTCAGTCACTTGTCTGGATGCCTAATTTCCAATCACACCCACAAGAAATAAGCATACATCTGCTCACACCCCGATATAGACCATCAAGAATACACATATGGTTGGTGCCTTAACTGAGTCATCTTTTTTTTCCATTTCATTCATGAAAGCAACATAAGAAAGCCAAGAGTGAAAGGGGTACAAGATCACAGTATAAAGGTCTTCTGTGTGTCCTTCAAAGGTTAACACAACATTGTCCTAAAGGGACGTCACAGCAGCTTAGCTGTTTCTCACAGATGAGAGGGGCTGGTGGGGTGGCCAGGAGTCATCAGTAAACCCAAATGAGCAGTGCAGGACTGAATGTCGCTGTCCTCTTGCAGGGGGAGTCCGCGTGGAGGGTGCTCCTTGTTTCTCACTGGGATGGTGACTGTGTACAGTGGTAAGCGCAGAGCCAATGAGGGACAGGATGGCCGTGGTGGAGGGAAAAGAGTGCAGGGCTGCTCTGTTGCTCTGTCCTGTCCCCTGTTAGGGCTGGTGGGCCACCACAGGTTTCTGTAAAGTACAAACACACACAGGCATATAACACAGACACACATGGGCGTGCACATACAAATGCACAGGTGTGTACATGGATGTGCACATCAGTAGACACAAACTTAGATTATATGTTTGTGCACACACGCACGTGGGGCAAGAGAATAGGGTCTGGAGGCAGGGAACCTAAGGCCAATTCGTGCAAACTTCCTAGAACTGAATCAAAATGAAAACCCCACCTCTCCATGCCCGAGGAACAAAAAGTCCAGCGGCTACTCCCTTTGCTATGCCCCCTTTCCTCTGCATCTCAGATGAAAATGGAAAGTACCTCGGATTGGTCCCCTCCCCCAACCAATCAGACAAGTCATTGGCCAAGTCTTCATGTGTAAATTTGTAACTTCCCTTCAGCCTCCGATGGGTTGCCTCCTGCGACCGATCACATTGATTGGGTCCACTCCTTCATTTGCATAGGGTATAACCAAGTAACCAATGGGAAACCTCTGGAGGGCACTTAAAGTCCAGAAAATTCTGTAACCAGGCTCCTGAGCCACTGGCTCTAGCCTGTTCCCACTCTGTGGAGTGAACTTCCTTTTCAATAAATCTGTGCTTTCGTTGTGGTAACACACACACTTGGGTGTGTAAGCAGGTACCTACACAGGGGTGTGCACAAACACACAGGCATGCACACAGTGCACACAAATACACACAGGAGTGAACGCAGCCACACACATACACGCATGGACAAGTTGGTCAAACGCTGGGTTTGCGTTCTTCACAATATTAGGTGAACTCCCTTGGGGTGTTTTACTTAGCCTCTCTCTGCCTCTGTTTTCTCAGCTATAAATTTGGGTCAATGACACAGGTCCTCATCCAATGGGGTGTGTGGACAGCAAGTATTTGAAAATGTAAAGCTCTAAAACACAAGAAGATACTCTTCTAATTTCAGAGTATTTAGATGTTCAAGCCCTCGTTGGCAAAGACTTTACTTTTTGCTTTGATTCTCTGGTCTGAATCCTTGTTTTGTTTAGCTCCATTTTCTTTGCTCTGAAGACTTAATATTAACACATAAATCTGATGGGTCACTGAATTTTAAAAACTCCTCAGAGAATGAGAGAAAACTTTACCGCGAAGGTGTGGCTGGCCATTCCTTTCCTCCCGTTGGGGTTTCTCTGTGTCAGCGAGCCTCGGTACACTGATTTCCGATCAAAAGAATCATCATCTTTGCCTTTGGGGAAAACAGGGAGAGGGATGGTGCTTTATCAATCACATACCTAGCCCAAACAAGTGCCTAGGCCTCCTCAGACATTTAAAAGGTAGAATAAAAATGGACATATCCCTTTTTAAGAAGTTTCCACATCACATATTTTTAACAAGGCATTCACATTTCAGGTTTCATGCAAATAAACAGTTTTGCCAACTTCTTTCTCCTTTGCTTTGGAGCAGGCATTAGCGTTCTACCTCACTGTGGCCCCAGGAATCCTCACACTAATGAAACAGCAGAAAGGCCCGTTGCACAGTACTGGTGTGCGGTCTCTGTCTTTTCCTTTTCCTTTCCTTTTCTTTTCTGCTTCTTTGAGACAACGTCTTGCTCTGTCACCCAGGCTGGAGTGCAGTGGCGCAATCTTAGCTCACTGCAACCTCCGCCTCCGGGGTTCAAGTGATTCTCCTGCCTCAGCCTCCCAAGTAGCTGGGACTACAGGTGTGCACCACCATGCCTGGCTAATTTTTGTATTTTTTAGTAGAGATGGGGTTTCACCATGTTGGCCAGGCTGGTCTTCAACTCCTGACCTCAAGTGATCCGCCCGCCTCGGCCTCCTGAGATGCTGGGATTATAGATGTGAGCCACCATACCCAGATTCCTTGCCTTTCCTTTGTGACACGGCAACAGCCCAAGGGGTCTCAGACTCTGACCCTCATCACGGGGGCCCCTCCTAGGGCCATGGCTGTGTAACTGGGGGCATCTGGCCTCACATCCTGGTTGAGTGTTCGTGTTCAGGTGGCTGGTGCAGGCCCTTCTTCACTTTTGCATGTCTTCTGTGGCCTGCCTGACTGGAGCCAGTTGCCAGGGCTCCTGAGAGCTGACTGTGTGCGCCTCTTCCTGACCCCACACTCGGTGACATCAGCTGGGAACTTGCGATCAGCCAGGGCGGGAGAATTTATGCCACAGAAACTGGCACATGCTACAAGCCAGGCCTTTGTCCCTTTCCTCTTTTGGGAGTTGGCTCAGCAGCATGCTCCTGTTGTGCTGTTCTCTCTGCAGGGTCATCTGGCCTGGCCTGCCGACCCTCCGTCCCTGCTCCAGGACTAACCTCTGTGGAGGGAATCATTTAACTTGAGGGATCATGACTCCTGAGGAGTGAAGTCACATGAGGCCCTGCAGACCCTGGGACGGAGGCCCGAGGACCTGCCGGTGTGTGGGGCTGGCCTCTGTAGACAGTGAAAAGCCCCCTTGGCCACTCTTGGCGGAGGGTGGTGATGATGGCTGGGAGAAATGTGAAGGTCAGGCCTCAACTTTGCCGTTCAGACCCCGAAATGCCTGTGGGCTATCAGGGGGCCGGGGGTGAGCTATTCTGGCCTTGGACTGGACATGAGTGAGGTCTCTGGATAGGACAGAGTCTACCCTTCACGAAACCATTCATACAGAGGATGCAAGGAATCGCCCTTTGTCCTCCTGCTACAAACATGAACCTCTCGGCTGGGCATGGTGGGTCCCGCCTGTAATCCCAGCACTTTGGGAGGCCAAGGTGGGTGGATCACCTGACGTCAGGAGTTCGAGACCAGCCTGGCCAACATGGTGAAACCCTGTCTGTACTTAAAATAAAAAATTAGCCAGGCATGGTGGTGGGCACTTGTAATCCCAGCTACTCAGGAGGCGGAGGCAGAAGAATCATTTGAACCCGGGAGGCGGAGGTTGCAGTGAGCTGAGATCACACCATTGCACTCCAGCCTAGGCCACAGAGTGAGACTCTGTCTCAACAAAACAAAACAAAACAAGAATCTCCACCTGGATTTCAGCCCACGAGACGTGCTGGAAACTCCCCTCAGAGCCAGCACGTGGATCTCCAGGAGCCCCTGCTGGCAGCTCCTTAGCGGGTCATCTCTGGCAAAGTCGCTCTCCTGGCTGGTGATCCTGAATCTGGGATTAGCCCCAAAGGGCCTTGGGCACCAGCTCTGTCCCAGGATTGACCAGAATGTGTGCTGGGAGCTCAGGGGGTGCAAAGAGCGATCTGGCATGGAGGTGGGTGGCTGACTGACCAAGGAGCGAGCTGACTGGAAAGAGGGATCAATGTGCTGGGTGTTGCAGGGAGGTGGTGGAGAGCCCCAGGGGAGAGGCTTCATACTTGGCCCCGGAGGACTTCACAGGACAGAGATGGGCAGGGAGGGGGCACACCCAGGCGTGGAGGCACGTGCTTGTGTGGCGCACTCTGAAACCAGCGTCTGCTTGTGTTGTTCCATGCATGGGAAGGAGGTGCATCCTTAGGTGGGTGTAGTAGGGGGCCGGCTGACTCCAGTGTGCGACAAATGGCCAAAGTCTGCAGGGCTATGCTAAGAAATCCCACTTCATTCTGCAGGCAGTTGGGAGCCCAGGATTGCTTGTGAGCAGAGGAGGGACACACACTGTCTGCTAGTACTGCAGCTGTGGCAGAGTTTGAACGATGGTGTGTGTGAGGACAAAGCTCAGAAAACAGGGACAACAGATCAATGCAACAATGCTTGGGGGCCTGAAACAGCTTGACAGCAGAAGGACAGGGCTCTGAATGGGGAGAGGAGCTGCCAGCCTCCGGCAAGCAGTGGTTGGGTCACAAGTTGAGTGAATGAAATGAGCACACAGATACCCCAAGAGCCTGACCACATGCTGGGGAGGCCTCACATCCCATTAGTCCAGGACAAAGCTAATGTCCCTGTCACCACCAAGCCTTCAAGGAAGGCTAAATGATGACCCGTACTTTCTGTAAGAAGGCCAGAAACTGTGTACCATGTTAGGACAATTTATGTAGAAAAACATGGAAACACCACCGCCATCACCACTGCCACCAGGGCCACCTTTGCACGCTTAAAGCAGCAAGTTCCAGCTGTCTGGAACACCAACGTGCTGGGTCCTGAGGGTGACCCAAGTGGCACTGGGAACGATTTTTGGGAGTCAGGACACGAGATATGTCCCACAGATTATGAAGAAACACACAGAGCTGCGACTGGTCATTTTCCTCCCTGGAGCTCATTTCCCAGGCTCATGGGGGTGCGGGGAGCAGAGGGCTCTTACCTTGATTTTTCAGGGAATTACTGAACTTTCTTCTCAGAAGATAGGGCGCAGCCATTGCCTAGAAGAAACAGAGTGTCTCCAGGCTTCATCCAATTGTGATGTTTGGGAATTGTGAACTAATTTTTGATTTCTTATTGCTCTTCCAGCTTCTAATTAACCAGGCTCACTGTTTTCTGCTCTCTAGCAATATTTGAACTTTTAGCAACATTAGAATGGACATTTTCAATAAATTAAGCACTGAATGCCTGAAATAAGAGATGCTCAGCTTTGGCGGAGCTGCCACATTCGGGTGGTATGGCAGAAGGTGTATAAGTTTCTGTCCTGCAGGTCTGGTTCAGATCCCAGCACTACCCCCTTACCACTGTGAGACGTGGGCAATTCATTCACTTCTTTTTTTTTTGAGACGGAGTCTCGCTCTGTCACCCAGGCTGGAGTGCAGTGGTGTGATCTTGGCTCACTGCAAACTCCGCCTCCTCGGTTCATGCCATTCTCTTGTCTCAGCCTCCTGAGTAGCTGGGACTACAGGAGCCTGCCACCATGCCCGGCTAATTTTGTTTTTTGTATTTTTAGTAGAGATGGGGTTCACCATGTTAGCCAGGCTGGTCTCCATCTCCTGACCTCGTGATCCGCCCGCCTCGGCCTCCCAAAGTGCTGGGATTACAGGTGTGAGCCACTGTGCCCGGCTAATTCACTTCTTATCCTGTCTGAACCTTGGTCTCCTCCTCTGTAAAGTGGGCCTGTAGCTCTCTTTACAAGGATACTAGAAGATCAATTGTGTCTAATATGATTCCCGGGTCCCTGTGACTGTTGGTCCTCACACCTCTCCTCCTGTCTCTTTTCCAGTTGATTACCTTGCTACGATGCGATAAGAAATCCATTCTCTGTTTGGCTTTTCAGGGAAGTGAAGAGACAGCCAAATGGCCTAATTCCCCTAGAAATTTCTCCTGGTGTCTGGCACCCTGGGATTTTGCCTGGCTGGGTTTGTGGGTGGCTCGCAGAGGTGCTGCAGAAGCTGTCAGGCTGGGCTTCTGGGGACAAAGGTGGAAGCGGCTCCCCCCAGAGAAGAGTGTGGGTGTCAGGCATGGCCTGGGCTGAGACCCTGCTGTCACTTCCTGTCTGTGATCTGGATCAGGCTCACCCACTGCCCTGAGCTGACTGGTTGGTTCATCAGTACAACAGGGTTAATAGCACTGCCTAGCCGCTGCGTGCTGTAAACATCATGTGGAAAGATGGACTTTTGAAAACACTGCGTGTCACTGTGAGGAACTGCCAGGGTTGTGATGAGGAGTGGCTAGGTGTTCCTCGAGGCTCCCTGCGGCAATGGGCTGCAGGTAGCGCCTGAAGCTGAAGCCCATTCCTCCTGGGGTGCTGGCCATGGCACCCCTCATCCTACTCCTAACCACTCCACCTGAACGCAGGGAGCTCCTCCCTCCCAGGCTGGCTCTGCCCTCTGTGCATTGCCATCTGTGGGTCCCGCTCACACCTCCGCAAGTCCTTGTGCCATTTTGAGCGCACTGGCTCCTGGGTGTTTCCACCTTCGGCAGCCAGCGCCTCGGTCTCCCAGATGGAGACAGTCCCCAGGCCACTGGCCCGCTGTGCCTGTTCAGGCACGGGCAGAAGTGCCTGGGAATGTGTGTGGCCCAGGGCCTGGCCCTTACTCAGGACTGACGGGTGTGGAAGGGATAAGTGCTGCTGGCCTTGCTCCTACACGGAATTAACTCTGGGGTGTGAACTGCATGGTCTCCAGAGCCCCCAGGAGGACTGAGCCACAGTCAGCCTGTGTGGGTTTGCTTCATGTCCGATGCTTGCTTCCTTCCTTTCCCGTCTCACTTTCCCACTCCCCTTCTGGGCTTTCTTGGATTTTCAACAAATGCATCTACACAAACCCAGCTCAGTGTGTGCCACCGAGGAAGTCAACCCATGGGAGTTGCCACGGTGTTGTGGCAGCTGTGTGGGCACTGCAGCTGTGTGGGCAGCTTTGCAGACACAGGAGCTCCGCCACCCCGTGGACTTGCCACACTGCTGGAAAGGGGTGCAGTCTTCCGCCTTCGTGCGCTGTCTGGGTTTGGATGGAGTAACACATACCTTGGCCTCACTTGAAGGGTCTGCATTTGGGTCCTCTGGTCTCTTGCCAAGTTTCCCAGCCACTCGAGGGAGAAATATCTAGAGGACAAAGAAGAAACTTTATGTTATTGTTTAACCTCCATCCACAGGGAGGAGCATGGGCATGTGTCAGCTGGATGTAAGGATGGATGCTCTCTATGCACGCTTGGTCGGGGACGCTGGGACTGCACGGCCACCTCCAGTATGCCATTCCAGGGCTCTGGGACTAGGGCTGCCAGACTGTGCAAATTAAAAAGCAGCATACCCAGGGAGCTTTGAATTTCAGATTGTGAAAAGAAAATAAATCTTGGGACTCCAAAAACACTAAGCTAAAGGGAAAAGTCAAGCTGGGAACTGCTTAGGGCAAACCTGCCTCCCATTCTATTCCAAGTCATCCCTCTGAAGCTCACCTGCAGATCGGATTGCTTCCTCTCCCCTGTTGCTTAAGTCAAAACGCAGACTCACTGAGCCAGACTAAATTGTGTATTCAGTGGAAGGCTGATCAAGAACTCAAAATAATGTAACCTTTTGCCTCTTATCTACTTATAACCGGGAAGCCCCCACTTAAGAGTTGTCCCACCTTACTGGATCGAACTGAGGTACATCTTACACATACTGATGATGTCTCATGTCCCCCTAAGATGTATAAAAGCAAACTGTTCCCCCAACCACCTTGGCACAAGTCTTAGGACTTTCTGAGGCTGTGTCATGGGTGTGTCCGTAACTTTGGCAAAATCAACTTTCTCAATTGACTGAGACCTGTCTCAGATATTTTGCGTTCACAAGATCAACAGCTAATTTTTTTAGTGTAAGTCCCAAATGTTGCATGGGGGCATACTTTTACTAGATTATTGTTGATCTGAAATTTAAAGCTAACTGGGCATCCTGTATTTTCCGTCATGACCCTGTCTGGAACTCTCCTAAGGACATCTTCCATTCTTTTGCCAAATGTCCTCATCAGGGTGGTTTTGTCTGAAGATTCCTGATGGGATCAGGAGAGGAGGATGTTGGTCTGACAGGAGCAGCTCCTCTGATGTGAGTCTCCTGCGCCACTCCTCCTAGTCACATCCATCTTCACATTGCAGCGGACTAAGGCTTTCAGTAAGAGGCAATGTGATTCAGGCGGCTCCTTTTGGATTTCACACTGTGAGTGTGTGTGCCTTTCAGATCCTCAGAGCAGGGCTCAGAGTGCCCTCATAAAGAGCTTTTGGTAGAAGCAACAAATAATAAACAAAAATGAACCCCAA